TATTCCATACATGCAAACCTAACATGTGAGGATGTAACATATAGAAAGTTAACATATGGTAAAGTAACGCGTGGTAATCGAATGCGTGGAAGTACAACACGTGGCAATATAACGCGTAGTGATATAACACATGATAATAAAAAAATAATGAAATGGGTTTCTGTAGCACAGAATTAAAAATACTTGCCCCATCTTTCGTAGGATATGGAATTGTGAAAGATATGTCCATTTTTGCTAAGATGCAAGATTCGTTTTTATCGTTGTTCAGAAAGTAAGGAAACGTGTCAGTTTTATTTTCAGTCTTAGAACATTGTTTATCTGAAAATTCCCAATTTTTATTCATTTTAGCAAGCTTATGTAGCACCAGTCTAAACGGAGTTCAATTCCTACCCCATTATTAACAGAATTTTAATGATCGTTTTACCTTTACGCATGGAATAATCATTGACCTTGTTGAATGCAATTACAGAAATATTGGCCATTTCAAATTCAATATCGCCAACTTTTATAGTTTCGTTCTCACACTTGTGTAGACCAGTTTTCACAGGTGCAACTAACAAACGAAGATCATTGCCCGAAAACCAATCCCTTGTTCTGTTTTCCTCTAATTTAACAAGAAAGCATTGATTTAGAGAAATTTTGTTTATAGATGATTTAAGTTTTCTTAAATAAATTTACTAAGTTTTATGGAATTTTTGTGTAGTACAGTGATGAGCAAATTTCTGAATTTCTAAATTTCTAAATTTTCAAATTCTCAAATTCCTAAATTTCCAAATTTCCCAAATTCTCAAATTCCCAAAGTTCCAAATTTCCCAAATTCTTAAATTCCCAAATTTCCTCCCAAATTCTCAAATTTCCAAATTTCCAAATTTCCAAATTTCCCAAATTCTCAAATTTCCAAATTTCCAAATTTCCAAATTTCCCAAATTCTCAAATTTCCAAATTTCCAAATTTCCAAATTTCCCAAATTCTCAAATTCCCAAAGTTCCAAATTTCCCAAATTCTCAAATTCCCAAATTTCTAAATTTCCCAAATTCTCAACTTTCCAAATTTCCCAAATTCTCAAGTTCCCAAATTTCCAAATTTCCCAAATTCTCAAATTTTCAAATTTCCCAAACTCCTAAATTTCCAAATTTCCCAAACTTCCAAATCCCCAAATTCCCAAATCCCCAAATCTCCAAATCCCCAAATCCCCAAACCCCCAAATTCCCAAATTCCTAAATTTCCAAATCCCCAAATCCCCAAACCCCCAAACCCCCAAATTCCCAAATTCCTAAATCCTCAAATACCTAAATCTCCAAATCCCCAAATTCCCAAATTCTTAAATCACTAACCACCTAATTTAAAAAATCCACAATCCCAAACATTACATAAAAAAGAATCGACATCCCCGTCACCCTATCACCGCACTCCCCACGAGCGTCTTCAAGTTCCTCGGAGAACAACTAATCCCATCACTGTACCCATTTCCAAACCCAAAACAAATGTGAGTACATAGATTGTATCACCTTTTTCCGTGATTCCGGGGAAATTCGTGTTATCCAAATAAATACGAGCTGTGATCGAGTACAGCAAGAAGTTAGTATGGTCGTTGATAAACGTAAACGTAACAACATTATTTTTGACTTTTTCGTCCTTTCCTTGTTTCCAAGTGAAAGTCATTTCGGATTTTGCATCGGAACAAGTACCAGTGGGCTTTTCATCTGCTGGTACCTCTAAAGATCCAGGTACAGTCTGCAAATGAAACTTTTGTTATTCGTGGAAATAAATCAGCCATTTCTTCTTATTTATTTGCAACTTATTATTTACAGTTTACCATTAATCAACTATCTTAATATTGCAGAATAGCAATACACAATTTAGACGTTCGCTTTGCGGTTAAAAAAGCTATTTCATAATATCATACTGAGTAGTGACATATAAAATTGCAGAAGTTATTACAGTTAGTTACATTTTCAGCACATATGTGAAATATGCTCTGTTCGGAATTATAACATTACGTACTAATAAAATATGTATTGAATTCAGGTTTCGCTATTTTTTCTTATTCTTGTAAAAATGATGGATTTGAGAGTTAACTTAATAAGTTAGTAACAAACAGAAATCAAGTATCGAGATTCTTACCCCATTCTCCGTTGTGTATGGTACCGTAATTTTTATTGCCATATTTGCCAGGATACACGGTACACCTCTTTTGTTGGGAACTTGGTATTGGAAATCATCCTTCGTCATCTGCACATCTAAGATATCTTCTTGCATCAAATTCTCATTCGTTTCTATTATTTGCACTGGGTTGTAAGCGCTGCACGACGCTGAAATGTATGGTTAAGTTCAATTAATAATTAAATTGTTACATTGAATCGATGGACATTGTGATGCGATTCAAGAAACTTTCGTCAGGAAATTTTTAGGAAAACAATGCATGAAATCTTTCATCGAAATCATTCAAGTATGCTGTCTTTAAAAACTCGACTTTGATCGATTAATCTTCGTGCAACAGCATAATTTCACGAACTTGAATTCACATTGAAACTATGAACATCGAAATCACTTCCTCTACAATTACACTGTTTATTTCTTTCTTGTTTGCCGACATTCAAATTAAATAAACGATAAATTAATATTACAAATGTATTCACTTTCTCATAGCTTTAATATTTATAATATATCATACTGTTCACAAGAAATCAGCCTAATGATTCATACTCTTCACAACGGAAAGTTTTTCCTCAAATATCCTTGCACCACTTGTGAAATCACGAAACTCACCAACAATCAGAAAAGCAGCGAGCAGCAAAAACTGCGCGTGTTTTCGCGCCATGTTTCACGATCGCGCTAACAGTACTCCGGTTTTTCGAATATTCACGATAGAAAAACAGGGAAAATGAGGAAAGGTGTTCGAAGTTGCCGATATAAAGCGAAGAGATTACGTATCCCTACCGTCGACACATTTTTACGTTATCGTTTGCTTTAGAGTAGAACCAGATAACGTGTTATATCTCTAATCTAGCCCTCGTAACGATACGGAACTTTTGTAATTCCAATCTGCTGGATCTCGTATTATAAACACTTTCTGATCGGTATGTCTGCACAGGTAGAAATTGAAAAACGTAATCTCGAATCGTGTTACATTGTATGCGCAGTAAGAAACGTGTATTTATTTTAAGTCATGATTATAATTATAACTTAATCGCTCGTATGATCATAACTTACCGATAAATCATAAGTTAATTCTAAGTAAATGATTTTCTTTTTGAAGCTGCCATTTTCTACAAACTTGAAGTATAAATAATCTCAATTAAATGAGGTAATTGTAAAATAATTTTTGTTTGAAAGTTTAATAAAATTGATTGCAACAAAAGTAGCATTCGATACATCATGAATTAAATTTGCAGACAAAGGAATTGTTATTCGATCATCGTGCAGTATTACACTTATCGATTCCTTCATGAAGCTTGACAGATCGACCGCGCAACGAGGCTCGCGTTTCACAGTTTTCGATATCGACCGATCAATACTGTGACCAAAATTATCTGACGTTTGCGAGCCTTGCAGCGCAGAAATCAATAAGCAGATAACAATGTTTCAAGCTTAGCACAAACTTGCAATTTGTGCAATTCGAATTTTTATCGACTGTTAATATTGATTTTATTTTCGATTTAAATAGTTGAAAGCTTATACTTTCGAAATTTCGAAAGCTTATATAGGTGAGGTTATAACAGTGAATTACAGTAGCTGAGCGATCGTCAGCTAGTTCATAATCCAATATCAGTCTTAACGTTCTTAAAGTAGTTTTTAATGTGATCGCACGATAAACACATTGTATCATTTCTTTTTAATTTGATATCGATAACGGTATCTGCACACTAACGTAACAGATAATTACATGATCTTAAGAATAACAATGGTTCAAAGTAAAAATAATATTCAAAGACCTACAAAAAAATTCACTGAACAAGCATTAAATAATTTTAAAATATAATTTAACAGCTCCAAGATCTTGGTATCTCGGAGGAAACAAAATGGCGTACGCAGCAACGTGTCCACTAACAGACTTTTGTTCACGGACTCGTAAAACGATTATCGGTAACCATAATACCTAACAGCCCTTTGATTTCTGTGATCACAATTTTTCGATTAATACCCCCTACGCAAGAGGGAATGCATAAACGAAAAAAGAAAGAGCGTGGCGTGACAAAAATTGTACAGGATGTGGTTGCACGCGCCCACGACAATCCGTATTAACCGTGTATTAAACGCGTGCAACCCTTCGCTTCCTTTCTGACCAGCCATTATTCCTAGGCAGCTGCCTAATTCACGGTTTCGTCCGATTTTTCTTCTTTCGCCGTTGGCTACTGGCTCGCCGTTTGTTGTGTTCTGTCAAATTTATCGGATCATCGAATGTCGATAACGAGTGACGCGCCGAATCGATAAACTTATTGTTCCACATTATTTGGCACGTGGTTATGTTTTTTAGCTGGTATCGATAAATGTTGCAAAACAACGCAAGGGAGAGATGATTGTACTCGGCAGTGACTACAGTAGCCATAGTACGGGTGCTCATTCGGACATATGGATTTAACAATTTTTGAGTTAGCAAATTTTTTAGTTAATGACAAAATTATTTGGGTTTCTAATTGTAAAGCTTGCAAATATTAGATGTGTGAATGTACGAAATTTTTCGTGTTTTAATGGAGCTTGAAGGTCTTAGGTGAACTGTGAATTTTTACAGTTTGTTGTCTCTAGATTTCCACATTCACTCTTCTTATCAAGTTGAAGTTTATTACCAAATTTATTAGTAAGTTTGAAAATGTCTGAATTCAAAGACCTCCTATGTCCCAAAATTCCTGGGTCTCAGAACTTCTGGAGCCTTGAATCTCTAGATTCCCAAATTTCAAGGTCTGTAAATCCTTGGATCCCAAATCACTTAGATCTCCAACTCACCTAGATCCCCAGATCACCTAAATCCCCAAATCACCTAGATACCAAGGTCACCTAGATCTCCAGATCACCTAGATCACCAAGTCACCTAGATCTCCAGATCACCTAGATCACCAAGTCACCTAGATCTCCAGATCACCTAGATCACCAAGTCACCTAGATCTCCAGATCACCTAGATCACCAAGTCACCTAGATCTCCAGATCACCTAGATCACCAAGTCACCTAGATCTCCAGATCACCTAGATCACCAAGTCACCTAGATCTCCAGATCACCTAGATCACCAAGTCACCTAGATCTCCAGATCACCTAGATCACCAAGTCACCTAGATCTCCAGATCACCTAGATCACCAAGTCACCTAGATCTCCAGATCACCTAGATCACCAAGTCACCTAGATCTCCAGATCACCTAGATCACCAAGTCACCTAGATCTCCAGATCACCTAGATCACCAAGTCACCTAGATCTCCAGATCACCTAGATCACCAAGTCACCTAGATCTCCAGATCACCTAGATCACCAAGTCACCTCCCAGATCACCTAGATCACCA